AGACATGTGGATGAACTAGAGGATGATATATATCATCCTCTAACACACACATACCCAACTCATTACATCTGATGTGAATGATCTTGAAGGCGTGGGTGTGATTGGGTGATATATATAAAGCTACATCTATACTAACATATCATCTCATCCACACCTACATCTAAACAGTACTACACCCACACATACATGTTCACTCGCACCCACACCCTCAACATGAATGATAATAGAAAAAAATTAAATATTCTGTGTAATCAAAGTATTGATCATGATAAGGTTTAAAAGCCAGGTATTTGAAAATACAATATTTGTGGAATAACAATATTGTAAAGAAATTAACTAATAGTGAATTGTTTTCTTTATTTATAATATATAAAAATTTCTATGATATATGCATATTAAAAAACAAAATGTTAGAAAAGACGTTTGCTTATAATAAAGCATCCTTCCACACAAACCAAGTATAAATATTACATGATTCATTACTCTCAGTTCGAGTCATGTCTCAACTCGATCTTAAAACAAATACTTTCAATTACTTTTTATTTCGCCTGATATTTTTTATTATGATTATATGAATTTTATTGGTAAGCAAGTAGGAAGAAATCAAAGACGTTATTAACAAGGTCTCTATAAATGTATGCAGAAACCCGAAGAAATCGTTTTCTTCATTATTATTTGATTTTCATAATGAAAAAAATAATTACATTCAATCATTTTTATAAATATAAAAGTATAATCATATCACAACAACAGTGCATGTATTATTATACTCATACGAATAAGGTTGTTCGCTGATTATCTATGCGAGGGTGTAGATGTGGGTGAGTTATGGTGAGAGTATGGCAAGGAGTATATGAGAAAGAAAAGTAACACTCACACCCACACGCACACCCACACGCACACCCACGACTCCTTGTGTCCGCAAAAGTTGTTGGCTTTTTTTATCAGTCTGAAGAAGTGAAGTAATATGTAAACAGAAGCTTCTGTTAAAGATCACATTGTTCTCGTTTCTTTTTCTTTGTTCCATCTGAAAGAATGTTATCTGCAATAACAATCTTTCATATCGTTTCTTTTCTCTTTTTCTTTTTCGTTATTTTGTTCTTGATACGGAGAATATATGTTCGTATTCTGTTTTTTTCGAGAGTCAGTTCCTTTTTGTTCTTTTCTTTCGAAGTAGTTTTTTCTTTTTTTCAAATATATACATTTTCAAGTGCAGTTTCTCTTACACTACCTATAGAGAGCTCATAGCTTCTGACGAGAGGCCGAGCGAGAAGCCATACGTTTCTCTCTAATTTTTCTGGAGAACGCGTAGAAGTACAACGTGCAACTTCAGTTATATTTTGTGCTTACTGCTGAAAGGTAAGAAAGAATCTCGCTTCTGAAGCAAAACAATACATCGATGTTTTCCAACTTCGATGCTCTTGCATAAGTTCTCAGTAAGCTGTGCTGTTGGACCGTAGTGATAGACTATCTTGAGGGTGTGGGTATCTTTTCGCTAGCCAATCTCACACTCACATCCACACCTATACCCACACCACAGCCACCCACACCCTCTCCTCATTTTTGTTCTAAAACTTAGGTGACACGAAGAAGTGATTAATTGTACTAATTCATCAATATTTGAATATCATAGGAAAAATTTTCTTTTTCAGTATCGATCGTCTTACAATGACAGAAGCATTATGGCAACATGAAATTTTTACTGATGAGCAAGAAGAAAACACAAGAAGAGAAAGGCTACGAAATTATTTCGACAATATTCTTTCTGTATTGAATGCATATAAAGATCACGATATTTATATTCAATCTGTCGATGATATAGTACCTAATCTATTAAATCTTCATGTGGACCAATTCAATGAGATGCTGGTTCTTAATCATCCGTTCCTTTTTGATCTTCGAGATTTGGCTATTGAATTATTGCAAAAGAAAAATACTATTTATATCAATTTAATAATTTTCTTTACAAAATTTTATTCGAAAGTAAATGATAATAATTTGTCGAAGTTACAGTTTTTATTTTTCCATCAACCATTACTTGATGAACTTGTTCGCTATCGAATAAATGAAGAATTTTCTAATATTATCGATCAGTTTCTAATTAATCTGGTAAGTACCCATAAAAACCGGTATATATGTGGACTTCTACCGAATAAAGGAACTTATTTAGATGAAGTCGTTACATTTTTATGTTCCTCAGCGTATATTGATACATTCAATCATTTATTTGCTCGTATTACACTAGTAGGTGAGAACAAACTCGATGATGTAGAAGACTTTTATCTTTTACAATGTCCACTGTATTTTAACTTCGCTGGCGACAGTGATTGTTACTTACAAGCATCAACCATCATTCTTGAAAAAATGTTTGAAGTTTATCTAAACATATTTATTAAATTCACAAAAATAATCAAAAACTGTTCGCAAATAATAATTAAACCGGTTACATGGCTTATGATTTTAGTGCAAAAAATATCCATTTCTCATGAAATTCGTCAAAAATTTGCTAGTATCAGTGAAAAACTTATCGTCGTGATGTGGACTATTATTTCTGAATTGAGCGTGAACCAAGAATCACATACCCACGACTTACTTATTTCCACGATCGGACAGATGTTTTATACTACATTTGATTTAGAACTTTTGCTTAAAATTAGAGAAATCGATATGATTCCTACACTTTTGGAGCTGCAAAATAATGGTAAAAGCGAATATATTCAAGAACAGTCTTGTCGTCTTTTAGCAGCGTTGATGACAGCCGATGAAATTCAAAACCGTTTAACTGACAAAGCAAAGCTGATTAAAATACTGATAAGGTCTCCAGATTCTTCAATCATTCTGTTTGCTCGAGCTCGATTAGAAAACAATTTATTTTGCTTGAAAAGTAATGTAGCACCGAATTTAAGATCTATTTATTTGTTTGAATATTTAGATATAATTTCTAATGATCAAATCAAAATAGAAATCATCAAACAAAAACGTCTTCCATTCCTGGTTTCTTTAATCACAAAGAGAAATATTGAATATATTTCAACAATCATACGTCAACGTGTTCTAGAGATTCTACTCGAGTTGACAACGAACGAAAAAATATTTTCTCTTCTAAAACAAGATCATATTTTTTTGTTCCATGTGAAAAAACTACTATTGTCATCATCTGAAGAGAGTCTAATACGAGCAGCTCAAGCTATTATGCAAAAATTAGATACTCAACAAGACCTTAAAGAAACAATAAAGAATGACGACAATCTTACGAGTATTTCTGATAATTTAACAGTGGACAATGATGATGATATCCTGATTAGTTATTCTCCTACCGATAGAGATGAATGTTACAAAATTAGAGACAGACTTGTGAATGACAATATCCGTGTAAGATCTAGCCTAGATCTTCGGCATGATCTAACAACTAAAATAAATCCCAATGGCGCTGAGCATTGCAAAGTAAACTGTATACAGATTTCGTTAAACAAACTTGATAACGTATCTATTTTAGACACTTCTTCTCTACATTTCGGAATCGTATGTCCAAAGTACTCAATGCCAAAGGGAAGCCCAATATGCTTTCGAAAAACAATGTCGTATTATTCCACTTATTTTCAAATCTTCCTATCAATCAGCTCAATGGCTTGGAACAATTCTTAATGGTACAACATGTATAGATTTCAGAAAGTTGGACTTTGAATATGCTTATGAAAAGCTCAAAGTGGAGATCATCCAACACAAAAGTCAGTTTAGAACAAATCTTGATCAGTCTGTCGAAGAAACTCAATATGAAAAAACAGAACTTGTAGCGTAAGTATATTAATATTGGAAGTTAGGGATGCGCAGTGTTAATTTAATGAGTACCGATTGATTTCAACAGCGTCGTTCATTGCATACCGCTAGATTAAGCGCTGCTAATCATTGAAAAAAAATGACACAGATATCACCGTAAGGGGTGGGTATGGGTGGATGAACAGAGGAGACCCACACCCTCAAGATGATTTTTAATATTTTAGTGATCATTGACACGGAATCTGTCGGTGCGCATTGAGCGTCATCATCTGTGACAAAGTTATCATTTTTTAGGTGTTGTCAATAGCACTGCTCCTTCCCAGTTAGAAGTGGTATAATCTTTATCGTATTTCTAACTGTGATTTTGATAATTAACTCAGTGAGTGATCTGAAAAAGAAAAGAGATAATTCGGACTAATCATTACTTGTATATAAGAGCTCGGAAAATTTAATTTAATTATTTAATACCTGATATTCACATATTCAAAGAACTGTCATGCATGTATTCTCATGAAACACTTCGCTAGTTAGATATTCGAAATGAAGGACTCAAAAACTAAACTGGAATCTCAACTTTAACACTACGAAAATCTTATTGACGACATTCCTGTAGATAGATGCTAATATCAACATTTCTCCGTCTTGAAAGCAACATTTTTTAAATGAATGTTTCAAAGGCATAATTCATCAGATTTTTCAGTTCTGTTTATAGTTTGCCAGACTCAATTCCAATGGAACAGCAATCATTTTCAACAACTCAAATCTGTCCTGTGAGTACATATGCAGTCCTCGGCGCGCTCGACGATTTTAATTTGCTACAACCACTGCCTGTTATAGAAGAAACATTCATTTTGATATGGTTCGATCCAAATATTGAAAATATGCATCGTATGTCAAGTACATTTTCTCAAAACGTTCACGATCTTATTCGATATTATACTGACTTCAAGGAATGTATTAATGTTATAAAATCGATTGTTACAAGTAAAATCGTACTTGTGACAGCAACCGAAGTAGCAAAAGATCTTCTTCCCAACATTGTTAAACTTCGTTCTGTTGACTCTGTTATCCTCTACTCTACTAACAGCGCAGATGACCAGTTCAACGCAGATGATTATTCGAAGGTTGTTGGTGGAGTTAGCAATATCAACGAAATTCGATTCAGACTCGCAAATGTTGTCGAGCGCCTTGACGAACATTTACGGATGCGGCGTTCCTTCCGTATATGTAAATCTAAAACGGATATCGTTTATGAATTTGGTGACTTCCTGTGGTTGAATTTTTTAATTGAAGCTACTAAAATACTAGGTTGTGGCGATGGCGAAATCAATCAATTTTCTAATAAAGGCGAACTTGTTCGCATCGCTCGGATCTATTATCGTGGTGACTGCAGCACTTTAAAAAAAATTGATCAATTCGATATGAACTACCAATCTCAGTGCGCTCTTCAATCATATACAGCAGTGAGTTTTCCATTCAAACTATTGAATAAAGCACTTCGTACTGAGAATTGGGATCTGTTAATGCCCTTTCTGTTCTTCATCGTCGATATAAATAATTGTCTTGCTCTTGAACATGACAACTTAAATGATGAAGGAACGAATATTCTTCATCGAGGAATGAGAATGTCACTCGAAGAATTCGAAAAGTTAGAAAAAACGAAAGGTGAACTCATTTCAATGAATGGTTTTCTTTCTACCAGTCGCTCAAGACATGTGGCTGAATTTTTCTCCGGATCTGCGAAAGACGACCCTGGCACGGTAGCGATTATTTTTCAAATCGAATGCGACACTGTTATCTTAGATAACAATCTTGTTTTTGCTGATATATCCAAATACAGTGATATTCCCGACGAAGAGGAAGTATTAATTAGTATTGGTGCAGTATTTCGAATAAGAAACATTAAACAAGATTTAGATGGAAGATGGGTGATAGACATGATGGGCTCAAGCGAAATCAGTTCCGTCGCCAAGAAATATCTTCTCGACTACCAACTCAGACTGTTTGCTATGAGAGCTTATTGCGGACAGACATCGAGCTTCATCAACCTGTTGATCGACCGATCTAACTATGGTAGAGCCCAGGAACATCTCGAGCAACTGCTTAACCAGCCAAATGGAGAAGAGGTTGCTAAAGTCTATGCAACAACGAGTCGAGTACAAGAACCTTATGAAACACACGAGATTGTTATACGAGATCATTATGACTACACGCGTGATCGTTTATCAAAGGAAGACTTCAAACAATCTGCGCGTGCACTGAATAAGATTGGTTTCTTTCTTCCTCGTAATGAACAAATACGTAGCTCTCAAGAGATTTTAAAAATCTTGAATGTCAACGAGAACATCTATGATGAATCGATTGAAAAAAGAAGTTTAGCTTATGTGTTACCACAACTTGGAGATAGCTATCACACCTCATTAAAAAGACGGGATATCATCATCAAGATGGCAAATAATAGAAATAATTGTGACGAAATGGCCTCACTTGCATCGACGATAAGAGATTTATGCATAGACTCTTCCAACTATGAATACGCACGAACTTTTGACGAACTTGCTTCCCAAACGAGCAATTCCTGTTTGGTTAAGGAAGAAAAGGTCGAAGATGAAAATTCGCAAGTTTCAGGTAAGAAAATTTAGCAGCATATTCGAGTATTTCTTGTCCCGATTCACCTGAAAACGTGTGCTGGCTTTCGGAAAGGTTGTGTTGGATGCGGAATTCAATTTTCTATTCAATGATGTTATTGTCGAGAGCGATCATCGGAGATGTGAATATAAGTGCGGGTGAGAGCGTGTGGATGTGGGTGTATAAGAAAGAAAAGCAACAATCACACCTACACCTAGTTGCCTAAGATATCAACAAAATACGGAGAATTTACTCATTCTGCTACAGCCGTTATTTTTTAATTTTTTTGTCATCAAAATTTCAAAGCTTATAACTTTCTTATTATATGAGCTGTTATGATCAGTCAAAAAACCAGTTTGTAGAGTATGTTTTACTGCATCTCTTCGTTAAAAAGACAAATTTAGAATGAAGTGTTTTATTTAAGAAAAATTTTCTATTCAAATCTAGACTGGGTATCCAGGCTACCCTTTATAGCCATTACGAAGTCACTCGAATGTCTATAACATTGTTTGCCTCCTTTCAGATGCATTACAACTACCTCAATCCAAGTTTGTTTCCAATGCATCAGAGCCGAAACCAAAGACATCAGAACCAAGTATGTCGCTTAGAATGTGATAATCATTTTCATTAAAAGAAATACTTCATTGATCCTAGCGCTCGTGCTGTACTCGATGGCAGGTCATCTCGGTCGGACATATATCGATTAACGCTACAATGAAGGAATTTTTTGAAACTGACAGAATATATCGGTCCCATTGAGAACGATGATAAAACAATTATGAGTAACGTTTCGTTACACATTTTTTCTGCGATGCGCTATAGCATCGGATATCTACTCAATCCACCATTGTTTCATACTCTTGAGTAGCGTAGCGAGCAATTATTGACAATGACGCGGATTGCCGCCGCATGTATCACAAAGCATTGAGATAAGTGTGTGGGTGTAAGTGTATTTCTTCTAAACTTTCATCCACACCCACACCCTTGTTAATCATATTTTTCAATTCGCTCTCGAAAATGCGACCTCTTCATCAGGCGCACTTACCATTCAAATAAAGACAAAATAATACCGTTGTCGCGCTTTCTTCTACATCCAAAACAAAACTACTACTCTAATATTTTTTATAATTTTAAAATTCATATAATAAAAAAATGTTAATGATTCTCAAATTTCTGAGTACCTTAAATGCCACAATGCTACAAAGTCCTGAAACTAGCTATCCCAAAAGTTTCCATTGTAACACAGCAGAAACTCTTTGTTCAATTTTAGAAAATTCAAATATCTCACAGATTCCAGATTCGTAAAATTCTCAAGTCTACAACAAGTTCTTTTGAGAAAATATAGAAAGTTCTTTAACATCGGCTTTTGAATGACGTCAACTATCTATTTTCTCAAACGGTTTCCTTAAAGTATCTCTCTGTAAATGAGAATAATTTTCCCATTGACTGATCATATACTCCACTACTAATATAATTTCGAGGTTACCACGGTTCTCTGAACAGACTTCTTGTAAAATCATCATCTGTGTCGTGCATGATTTCATGACTACCTACTATTTTCATTTAGAACCTCAAGAATTTGCTGCATCTGGCGCGTGCGAGCAATTTCAATGTGGAGGTCGACCTTGCGCTAAGTGCCACAAATGTCGTGACTGGCATTTCAGTGGCGACCAAGACTCGTGGAACTGGGTCTGCAATCACAAAAATTGGAACGATGTGGATTGGCGTCGTTGGTACAATGACCGTGAGTATAAGTTTTTTACGAAACGTGGTGGTGCAACCTGTTCGCTCGGTGATTTTCATGGTGGTCTTCTTCTTGGTCTTTATGATGGTGATGGTGGTTTTGGTCTTCTCCTTGGTCTCCACCTATGTCTCTGTGAGAAACATTAACTTTCTGTTTCAGAATCATGAAACACGCTTTTCCGAAAATTCCTGTTGTTGTACCAAGATTTATAATTGAATAAAAATTGAAGAGTAAAAAGAATAGATCCCACCTGCAGCGGGTGAGAGAGGTGGATAGAATGCGAGCAGATGCTTGGGAGGACGCCGAAGGCTCCCGACCTTGTAAGTGTGTGGATATGGGTGTAGGGTGGCTAGACCGTGTGGATGTGGGAATGAGTGTGGATATGGGTGAGTACGAGTGAATGTGGGTGTGAGTGTGCGTGAATGAGTATGGAGTATAGTCTTATATTCATTCTGCACTCACATACCCTCACACAAACAGATCTACGTGTTGCTTGGAGAAAACTAGTGTGTGTATGACACGATAACAATATGTACACCACTCGCATCCGCACGTCTACATACACTCACAGACACATATCCTAAAACAAATTCAAATTCAGTTGAGAAAATCTTTGCAGTATTAGCTTTTCATATATTTTACTAAACTGAAAATAAATTTTCTTAGTTAGATGAGACGCCTGCTTATAATGAACCTTCCTTACACAAGGACTAACTATAAATATTAGATGATTCATTACTTCTCTCAGTTCGAGTCATGCTTCAACTCAATCTTAAAACAAGTATATTTAATTACTTTTTATTTCGCCTGGTATTTTTTATTATGATTATATGAATTTTATTGGTAAGCAAGTAGGAAGAGATCAAAGACGTTATTGACTAGGTCTCTAAAAATGTATTCAGAAATCTGAAGACATCACTTTCTTCATTATTATTTGATTTTTACATTGACAAAAATAAGTACATCCGATTTTTTTTTATAAATATAAAAGTATAATTATATTACAATAATAGTGGGTGTATTATTATGCTCATACGAATAAAAGTGTACACTTTTATGAGAATTTCAATTTTTACTTATTAGTAATGCTGAAATATCTATAGTATTGTGTAATCAAGGTCTCGAAGCAATTGATATTGAACGTTTTGGACGATCAATTATAATTATATGTAAAATATCAACTAATGGTAGCAGTTATAATTTAATCAAAAATGAATATGGTTAATCATTAATAGATTTATTTTATAATGTAAAAATATGTTTAATTTTTAAATAAGTAAAACAGTCTCTGAGAGAAAAGATACAATTGATACAATAATTGCATATTTAATATTCAAGTTGATAATCAAATGTGTATGCTTAATCAAGATATAGCAAAAAAAATTTTAAATACAAAAAGTACAAAAGAAAAGCATAATGTAAGATTTGCTGTTAATAACAGTCGCGATTAATTTCAATCTATAATTCCGTAACTATTATTTAGTTTTTTCTCAAAACAACACAGTTATAAAAAATGGTTGAAGATTTTCAACAAAATACAGTTGAAGTTCGTATTGCTAAAGGATTACTTATTGATCATATTAAAATAAAAAAGTTTCTTTTTTTTTTAAATATTAAATTTAAATTACTGTTTTAATTAACATAGAAAAAAAAGAAATTCAAGCACAATTAAAATTTGCTGTATTAGTACGTAATGCAAAACCAGATGCTGATAATCTTCAAGGACAACTTGAATGGACTGAAATGTTTAATCTTGAAAAAGTAAAATCATTTAAATATATATTTTGAATTATAAATATGTATTTGCTTTTTTAAAGACATTAGCTGAGACTGAACAAAAACTTCTTAATAATCGATATACTGTTGAAGAATATATGAAAAAACGTGATGCATCAATTGTATGTTGTGAATTTTTATTTATTTTTTAAATTCAATCATGTATATAGAAAGATATTAAAAATGAAAAGACTAAACGTGATGAATTACTTCGTAAAGCACAAGAAGTTACAAATAATATAATTGAAGACAAGCGTATTCACGATGATCTTGAACGACGAATGAAATTAATTAATAAAGAACGAAGAGATTTATTAAATGAAGTAAATAAATCTGAAAAAGAACTTTAAATGCAAATTGAATTAAAGAAAAAACTTCAAAATATTATTGATGAAATGCGTCGCAAAGCAACAGGTAATAACGATTATGACAGAGTTCGTCAACGTATGGAAGAATTACAAATTTCAATTGCTGAACAACGACAAATATTGTCAACGAAAGAAAATGAATAAGTTAATTTTCGACAATTATATGACGATGAATGTCAGATTTTATTTAATGACCAAGCAGCTGTTAAACAACATGAAGATTCTTTACATAAATGACGTAGAATTATTCAACATCTTAAAGCAGTTAAAGAAGATCGTGTTACAGTTTATGGACGTTATACATTTGCAATTCTTAAAGAAATTGAAAAACAAGCTCATAGATCTTGAGGGTGTAGGTGTGAGCGAGAGTGCCGGTGTAAATGATGGTGTGCATATAAGAGCCCCTGTTTACCCTTACCTTCACCCGTATTCATACTTAAACCTTCACCATCACGCGTTATTTTAAGCCAAACGAGTCAAATTTAAACAAAAAATACATTAAAATATAACGTATCAAAATTCTATCAATCTTATTTTGGGACATTTTTCTGAATTCATTCTTGGCTTTTTAAATCAGAAAAGTTTGAAACACAAATATTTTGTAAAACTAAGTCTTTTGCAAAAACCATTAGTTTACAGAATTATCAGCCACCATATTCAGAAATCATGCATGAACTGAGTTCTTTTCGAATTATTTAGTTGAAATGTATCTAATCGTAGAAATTTAGCGGAAACAAATAATTCAAAAAATATTTTTTTATCGGATTAAAACGATGAAGTAATGAGAAAGACTAAATTGCTCAGTTTGTTTCAGAAAAAGCTATGTTATGATATGCAAACCTGGAATAAATTTAACGTCCAATATACTATTGAAAAGAGCATCCTTTGTGCTACAAAAATCATCATTGAACAAGTTTTCTTTATGTCTCTTCTGATATACAAAAAAACTAATAGAAAACGAAAATCATGATACTCAAAAGTGAAGTTGCAAGAACCTTTTTAGAGGTATTTAGCCTGCGGCTTTTCTCCCTTTTCACATTCGTTTTAGAAAAATATATCCAAATACAAAATTTGTAGTTCAGACATTCCACTTTTTAATGAAAAAAATTGATTGATTTATAAGTTGGCAATATGGCTCAATAGAGTTACATCTCAGAACAAGTCAACAGGGATTTTTTTATGCAGTTTCTGTAGAACTTTTTATGGTAGAACTTTTTATGGCAGATGTTTTGAAAAAAAAATGAAGCTATCTTCATTTTCTCAAGCCGAGATATATGCGAAATAAGAAATGTCGCAAGACTTTTGTCACGCCCGGTAATTCCATTTAATGAGAATAAAGTATTAAAAACATTTTGATCATTATTTCAACTGGTTTAATTTTATATTATTTACATGATACATTGAAATTAAATAAAAATATATCAGACTCAGAGACCAACAGTATTAGTTCATTTTATAGAATCGACAGATCCCGAAAACGAGTTTAAAACAATACAATGTTTTTGAAAAATTATTCTTGTTAAAACATTTATTATATAATCATATCTACATTAGCATGTCTTGCATTATATTCATCTATCATTGCTACTAAACATATGACAAAGCTTGACAATGATGGAAAAACTATTCATTCAATGGCACATCTATTTCTATCAATAATTGACTTATTTTGTTTTTCAATTTATTTATCTAATGCATTTGTAATTTCTACATTTTTTCTATATCAAATTAGACATAATTTGAAACAAAACATCTTTTACAATTAATTATTTTCAAGAACACATTCTTTTTTAATGTCATTCCATACATGCTGTAACGGACATGATTGAATGAACAACTCTGTCTTATTATTTAGACAAATATAAAATCCTTTATTGGTAAATGGTACTGCACCAACAGGAGGTTCTCCTTCACATTTTGGAACAAATAATTTTTCAGTATAACAGTTATTTCCAGCGAAACTGATAACAAATGGTCGGGTACTCCAGTCGTGACACCGGCAAAAGTGATTAAGAGCCATATCATTTGTATAAGGATAACACTCTGTAGACTTATTTCCTATTACATCACCACATCTGGAGGTAGGACAATCATTCCGAAGGAGATGACAATGAAGACCTTCGTATGGAAGAGGACAATGACAA